GTTAGGGTGTTTTGGGGTCATGCTGTTAGAGCTGGGGTTAGGGTGTTACGGGGTCATGCTGTTGGAGCTGGGGTTAGGGTGTTTTGGGGTCATGCTGTTGGAGCTCGGGTTAGGGTGTTATGGGGTCATGTTGCTGGAGCTGGGGTTAGGGTGTTATGGGGTCATGCTATTGGAGCTGGGGTTAGGGTGTTATGGGGTCATGCTATTGGAGCTGGGGTTGAGGTGTTATGGGTCATGCTGTTAGAGCTGGGGTTGAGGTGTTATGGGGTCATGCTGTTGGAGCTGGGTTCGGGTTAGGGTGTTACAGGATCATGCTGTTGGAGTTGGGGTTGAGGTGTTATGGGTCATGCTGTTGGAGCTGCGGTTGGGGTTAGGGGTCAGGGTCAGGACACAGGCTGAGTCAGGGCGGGGTTAGAGCTGGAGCAGCCAGCACAGGCCAGGCCGAGGCACTCACCGATGGTACAGGCCACGAAGTAGACCCTGGAGGACTGGACCTGGATGTCGAACCTGTGGCAGTAGGCCACCAGCAGCCCTGGGGGAGAACAGGGTGGAGGCCCACCGGCCACAAAGCCTCAGAGCAGGGGCTCCCTGGGAGCGGCGGGCACCTGAGCACCCATGGGTGCTGTGGCCTCCTGTGCCCGGTGGCCACACACGCTCACTTAGAACAGAACTGCTGTGACTCTCAGTGGGTAAGAGCAAAGGCCAGCAGACACGCCCGGCAAGACCCCAGGGACGCTGAGGCTGGTAGGGTATAGTCTCTGCCTTCTGCAGCAGCTCGCCGGGACCCAGGCAGGAGCCCTTGTATAGCCCCGAGCAGGATGGAGTGAGGCTGTGTGTATCAGGAGTCCTTCCCCACTCCCTGGGCACCAAGGGGGTCCCCATCCCACCCAGGCACTGCCCTCACTGCCAGGCACCCGGGCCTCAACAGCCCCACCCTGCCTGACCCTGACACTCAGGGCTTCCTCTCCAGCCCAGGCCCCTCACACCCAAAGACAAACCTCAGTCACCCGGGGCCCTGCCCCACAGCACCAACCCACGAGTGCCACCCGCCTCAGTACCTGGCACCAAAATGTCTCCAAAGCCCAGGAGGGAGAAAGGCCGGTCACACAGAGCCAGAGGCGAGGAGTTCAGCCTGGGCACCTTGAGGACCATGGGCAGCTGTGAAGACAGGAAGAGGAAGACACCCTCCAGGACCCTCAACTGACAGCTGGTGCCTCAAGCCCCACCCCGCTCCACGAAACACCTTGGCCCGTGGCAACGTGAGCCTCACAGTGAGGGGACGCACCTTCTCGCGGGTGGCCGAGTCCGAGGGCCCAGTGGCCACCTCCACCATGATGCTGCTCCCACTCTGCACAGAAGGGGGTGGAGTGAGGACTACAGGCAGCGGGGAGTGGGTGACATGGTAGGGGGAGTGGGTAATGGGGTGGGGGGAGCAGGGTGATGGGGCGGGGGTCAGGGTGATGGGGTGAGGGGTCAAGGTGATGGGGTGGAGGAGGGGGTGATAGGGCAGGGCAGTGGGGTGAAGCGGGGTAATGGAGTGGGGGTGGGGTGATGGGGCAGGGGTCGGAGTGATGGAGCTGGGGGGCGGCGCGGGTGCCCACCTTGGTCAGGAAGGGCGTGATGAACACGAAGAAGATGTCGTAGAGGAAGAGCACCAGGAGCAGCAGCGTGCAGGCCTGCGGAGCCCACGGCTGAGGGCGGCCCCACCCTGCCTGTACCTGCACCTCCCCGACTCCCCACTTCCACTCCCATCTCAAGAGGCCCAGCACCTCCTCCTGGGAGGAAGCCTTTTAAGGAACCTGAGCAGAGCACGCCCAGTGCTGGGGACACGCCACGCGGAAGCACGCTTTGGAAGTAACATCGGGGTGGGATTGGAGGACAAAAGTCCGGCTCACAGACTTTCCCCATAACAGGACAACGGGGACAGGAGGACGGAAGCTGGGACCACGCTGGCTCTGGGATACGGGGTCCGTCCCAGGCACGCAAACGCCAGCACCACAGGAGTGCAGCCAGCTCCCAGCACCACCCAGAGGCCAGTTCCTTCAGCTCTGTTCAACTGCTCTCCCCATCACCTCATCCAGACACAGGAGTGACCCTGTCGGAACCACTGCCCAGAGCCACCCGCCCATGCCACCTGGGAGGGGGCGTGGGACCCAATCTTCGAGCCCCAACCTCCACAGCAAGCCTCGGCGGCCGTCCCCAGAACAATGAGCAGAAGAACAGACCTGTAAGGACCACAGCCCCACACAGGCCAGGCTTGGGGGAAGCCCCGTTGCCCACGCTGCCCTGCAGCCACACCCTCCCCATGCTGCCCCGAGGCCGAGCCCTCCCTCACTCACCTTGAAGGTGGGCAGGCGGATGGTCCTCAGCATGTAGAGGCAGAAGGCGATGCCCAGGGCGTCCTGGAGGACCCAGGCCCACCTGCAAGACAAAGCAGCAGCCCCGCCGGGGCGGAAGCTCACTGACCGCCAGGGACGCCACCTCCACGAGCCACACAAGCAAGGCTCACTGGCCCTTGCTCTCGGCCAGCCAGCGGCCACGCTGCCCTTGCACCTGCCCGAGGGATGACCCTGAGGACCCCAGGCCTGTGGGAGGAGCCTCGGCTGTCACAGCTCCAGCAGGGCTGGAGGCACAGGCCCTAACCCAGGCCCACCCTGTGGAAGCAGGTGGAGGAGCCAGCCACTCTGCAGCCAGGATGGTGGACACAGGCCTGGCCAGCTGCATCCCATCAGTCACTGACCCCAGACAGTGGGCGTCACGCTGGAGGCAGGGGCCAGGCAGAGGGTGCATGAGCTAGAGGGCTTGGGCACTGACCCCACCAAACTGGGTTTTTTTGAGATGGAGTCTCACTCTGTCACCTAGCTGGAGCTCAGTGGCATGGTGTCAGCTCACTGCAGCCTCCGCCTGCCAGGTTCAAGGGATTCTCCTGCCTCAGCCTCCTGAGTAGCTGGGATTACAGGCACCCAACACAATGGCAGGCAAATTTTTCTGTATTTTTAGTAGAAATGAGGTTTCTCCGTGTTGGCCAGGCTGGTCTCAAACCCCTGACCTCAAGTGGTCTGCCACCTCGGCCTCCCAAAGTGCTGGAATTACAGGCATGAGCCACCACGCCCAGCTAATTTTTGTAGTTTTAGTAGAGACGGGTTTCACCATCTTGGCCAGGATGGTCTTGAACTTCTCACCTCGTGATCCACCTGCCTTGGCCTCATAAAGTGCTGGGATTACAGATGTGAGCCCCCGTGCCCGGCCCAAACTGGTTATTAAAGAAAAGCCTGTGCCACGCCAGGCTTCCTCACAGCCTCTGGGTCCACAGCGAGTGGGGCTGCAACGCAGCTGGTGTCCCCGGGGCAAAGCACAGAACTGCCTCCTGCAGAAGGCCACCGCCCCCATGGCCAGCTGCAACCTCATGCTCTCTCCGGGCCCCATGCAGAACCCGGGGCCCCTCCTCGTGGGCCCAACCCCCATGCCGGCTCTGCCTGTCACTTGCTGGACAACTTCCCCACCTTCCTCAGCGTCTCAAACATCAAAGGCTTCATTTGAAAATGGGATAAAAACACCTCCCAGGCAGGGCGGCTGCTAAGAACAGAGGGCTCCACAGGAGACGCCAGCACAGCCGATGCCAGGCACCACGCGCCGCCAACACCCAGAGGACCGCGGCCAGCCATGTTTTCTTATTTTACGTTACTTCTTCAATAGAGGCGGAATCTCGCTCTGCTGCCAGGCTGGTCCTGCACTCCTTGGTAAGGCGATCCTCCCGCCTTTGCCTCCCGGATGAAGGGATCACAGGCACGCGCCCCTGCACCCAGCCGGCCCCGGCCTGCTCTAACTTCATGTGCCGGAGCAAGTTCCTGGCTTGGATGTAACTGAAAAATTCATTTTCTCTTTGTGTACAAAGGATTCAAAATATTTTCACGTCTTCCTTCTGCCAGTTAAATGTGCCGTGGCTCCAATCCGCACTAAAGCCAAGCACACTTGGCTGCCTCGGGAAAGCTGGCAGGAAGCGCCAGATGGTGTCTGCGACAGAGGTGGGGGCCAGGCGGGGACAGACCGGCTCTGTCCTCCCAACACCATGCCAGGCGCTCGCCCTCGTGGGGAGGCCTGGGCAGCGGGAGGCAGCCACAGTCCAGGCCGCGTGGGAGGTGAGGATGTGGGGAGCAGTGCAGGTACCGCCGTCACTGCTGAGGGCCGCGGCAGGCATGACCGAGGGGGTCAGGGACCCTGGCACCCACACCCTGGGCCTCGGACCTGTGGTGTACCCCGGGCGCCAGGACGGGGACAGCAGGGGCAGACAGTGCTCTGGGCAGCGCTGCCCCGCACAGGAGTCCCAGCCAGGTGTGCCGGAGGACGTGGCACCAGGGCCACGGGGCTCTGGCCTCTCCTCCGAGATCCAGTCAGGGTTCCCATGGCCCGGGACAAACACCATCAGGGCAGCCTGGGCCACAGCTTTTCCTAACGGGAGCTCAAGCGGCTCCATGCTGGGCAGCCTCCAAGGAGGGAAGGGAGTCAGGGCCCCGGGAGCCCTGGAGGGAGGGAGCGTCTGAGGACACCCAGGTGGGCGCGCCACCACCCTCGAGGGCCCAGTAGCAGCACTTACTGGTCCTCGTTGCGGAAGATGCCCCACACCACGCTGACGGCCACGCAGAAGAGCGCCAGCAGCAGCATGCGCACCTGCGGGCGCTTGTGGAAGTAGGGCAGGCTGTTGCTGGGGACCCTGGGGAGCACAGGGCAGTCAGGGCCAAGCCCTCCAGCCCCAGCCTCATCCCACTGCCCACCGCCTTCGGGCCCTGTCCAGGCACCCCTCCAGAGTGGCAGCCCGCACTCTAGCCTCCTATGAAACTCCACATCCCCACACGATGGCACAGGAGGTGCCCCCGGGGTGGGGCGGTGCAGGGCAGAGCCCAGCTGGGGCAGGCGTTAGGGGCCACTGGCTGTACCCAAGAGCCCCCTCACCTGCGCTGGGCTCCCTCTGCCTTGGCCCTGCCTGCTCCAGGCCTCTACTTCCACCCAGGGACGGCAACCAAAAAGGTCTCCCCTTGGGCAGGTCCTGCTTCCTAGACCCGGGTCTGACCTTATCTGAGGCCCCCCGGCAGTTCCCTTTGCCCCTAAGAGCCAGGCCAAGCTCTGGGCCAAGGGAAACCTTCCGGGTTCTGCAGAGAACCCTGGCGCCTCCCGTGCCCCCGCCAGCCTGACACCCAGGGCAGGGTTCCTGGGGACGAGGGCACCCTCCCCCGCTGCCCCTCCGTGCCTGGCTGCTGGTGGGCTCCGCTGAGAGCTCGCCCCAACTCCACACTGCTCCAGGGCCTAGGAGCCCTAGGCCAGCACTGAGTGAGCACCTGCTGTATACCCTGGGCTACACCGCACATGGGGGGCCGTGGTCGTCACTGCACAGGGCCAGGCACATGGGCCCAGGCAGCCTCACCTGCACTCGCCGAAAGGCAGCCGCCGCACACAGGGCGCCAGGCAGCTGTAGAGGCCGGTGGCGGAGGCCAAGCAGAAGATCCCAATGACCACATACACTGCAGGGGCAGGGCCATGAGGTCAGCGGCCAGGCCCGCATGCCACCCTCCCTCCACCCAGGGCTGGCTGCCCACCCGCCCGGGGCGAGAGTGCCCACGGAGGCCCAGCGCACCAAGGAGGTCGTAGAAGTGGTAGAGCAGGACCAGCATGGAGCAGCACATCACCACGAACACGCAGGTCATCACCGGCGTCACGTCCACCGCCTCGTCCTCCTGCTTCTCCAGTCCATCGTCACGCTTGTGCTTCATGTACCTTCTTGGGAGACACCACGGGGTCACGGGGCACTGGGGCCGGCTGGCCGACACGAGGCCATGAACCCACAGCCACCCGGGGCCCGGGGCAGAAAACCCAAGAGCAGGAGGGGAAGGGGAAGGGGCGAACTGAGGCGTAAGGAAGGGTCCCGAGCATCCCCAGGACAGACTAGACCACACAGCAGAGGGTCGCAGGGCCCGCGTCCCTAGGTTGGGCCAGGGCAGCCACTAGGCGGGGCCAGAGGCTGGCGTGTGAGCAGCAACTGCAGCTTGGATCTGCATAAAGATCCCTGGACAAGGGGCCACCCAGACCCAGGCAGCTCAGCAGGAGAGGGCAGCTGGCTCCAGTCACCTGCCAAGCGTACACCTGCCACACCCACACCTTCCCAGCCCCCCCAACTGCCGCATCCACACCTGCCACGCCCACATCCACCACACCCACACCTGCCACGCCCACAGCTGCCACACCCACAGCTGCCATGCCCACACCCGCCACACCCACACCTGTCGCACCTGCCACGCCCACACCTGCCACACCCACAGCTGCCATGCCCACACCCACCACACCCACACCTGTCACACCCGCCACCCGCACACCTGTCGCACCTGCCACGCCCACACCTGCCCAGCCTTGCACACCCACCCGGTCCCAGGAGACTACCCAGGCAGGGGAAAAGCCTGATTCTGTCCCGAGACCTCCTGAGGACACAAGGAAGGCTCCACGGGGTAAGCCATGCCTGCCACACCCAAAGCGCTCACTGCTGGTTTGGATGGGAAGACTGGCTGTCCCGGCCCCGGCGTCAGAACCGCCCGCCCCGCACGTCACAGCACACATGGTGCAACACTCACTTCTTCACGTCCCGGCTCCCGGCCCAGTAGCCACCAACGGCGACAGTGCCCACGGCCATGATGAAGATGATGACCATGTTGTAGTCCAGCACCGGCTCGTGAGGTGCGTACAGCGACGCCTGCACCGCGCGGCCGAAACGCTGCCTCGACACACACGGCAGAGGCGGCGTCAGCCATGGTCCCCAAGCAGCCGTGAGCTGTGGGGCTGGGGCTGGAGAAACGGACCTGCAGGGGCCACACCTCCCCCATCACCCCAATCCCACCAACTGACGAATGAGCCCCCCCCACACCACCGGCAGCCAGCCCGAAGCCCCAGCGTCGCGGGAGCACGGGTGTCAGCAGGCCAGGACCTACCCTGAAGATGTCCAGCATGTCTCTGTAGCTGAGCAGGGCCACGGGGATGGCAATCTCGTCATACTGCGTCTTATTGCCCCCTGGGGGGACCTGGGGGCCCAGAGGAGGGAGCAGCAGGCATCACCCGTGGCAGTAGGTGGGCCCCCAGCTCTGTGCCCATTCGCCTCCTCTCTTGGGACCCTCACTCAAGGCTCAGCCAGGCTGGGGGCGTCTGCATGCTCCCCTCTGCACCCAGCAACCTCTGGCCCCCCAGGAGGACCCAAGGACAGGGAGGCCCAAAGTCACCAAGCCTTCCCCACCTGACGACAGGGTCCCAGGCTTCAAGAGCCACCAATCCCTCCCTCGGCCGTGGGACTCCCTAACCACACACACACGTCCTAAGTGACACTTGTCCCCAGAGCACAAGCCACGGCCCATGCGTGCCCACTAAGCCACCCTGAGCCCCACACCCACTGAGGCCCTCTCTCAACTGCAAAGGCAGCGCAAGCGAAGGGGATGGCACCGCAGCGCTCCCAGGCCTGCTCTGCCCTCGGCCCTCAGCCCCTGCACCAGGCCCACCTTGGTCGGCAGGCTCAGGCCACAGCATGGGCAGCGGCCAGCCCAGAGTCACAGACAGGGCTATGAAGGCATTCCTGAACCCTATTTTCTTATCTCAAAACTACACTTCAGGGGAGGCCGTGCACCCTGCCCAGCCAGCAGGCAGCATGTCCCCATGCTGTAGCTGGCCCTGCCAGGCCCTCAGCTCTCAGCCACAGCCCCATTTCACAAGAGAGGGAACAGGGGCTAAGCTTCAGGCCACCTGGCTAGGACCACACAGGTAAGCACAGCCCCGCCGGCTCGAGGACCAGGGTACCGGGGTCCCCAAAAGGGACCTGCTCAGGCCAGACCACCTGCTCCTCAGAAGCCACCCCAATCCCATCCCCAAGGAGGGTGTGGTCTCCAGTCACCCTGGGGGCTGCTCCAGGACAGGCGCCTCACAAGACACGGCCAGAGTTCCACAGCCCAACCAGCGGCTGGGGAGCAAAGACGCATCTCCGCCCACACCCTCCCCACAGACAGGCCTGCCTTTAGTGAGATGTCGGAAAACCAGCCCCTGCCCCTGCCGCCGCCCCCTTCTGCCCCCCAAGAGTAAACTAAGGAAGGCCGGGCCCCATGGGGGGAGGGGCGCACAGGGTCGTACCAGCCTCTCCCTGCTGACGATGAGCAGCCCGCGTGCCCCACTGCCCTGGGCCAGCCTCACTTTCTCATAGAAGGTGCAGTTCCCCCGGGCCACCAGCGGGATCTGGTCGCGGAAGCCGTGGGCGGGGAGGTCGGCTGCAGAGCAGAGGAGGGAGGCCGTCCAGTTGCGCAGCTGCAAGGGAGGCTGGAAAGGCCAGGGCATGGTGTCGTCTCGCGGATGTGAGTCACTGCAGGGCCCAGCTGCTCCTTCCCCTACCCGAAGCCTGCCCTGAGCTAGGCCCCAGCCCTCGCCCGTGCGGCCTCAGCCACAACTAGGCATGGCCATCCCGACGGTGGGTCCCACAGTGGGCCCTGGACCACGGCTGGGCTGCCTCATCTGAGGGGCCAGGGCCTCCAGGACCACTGCGGCTGTGTCCACAAGGACAGCATGCACCATCCCCAGTGCACAGGAGGCCCAAGCACATGGCACACACACGCACACACAACCACATACATGTACACTCATGCTCAGGCAGACACACACCTATTACACACACACCACACAAACACTCTCAGGCACATACACATACATACCTATTACACATGCATTCACACACATACACAGCCAGGCCCGAGCACACGCACACACATGCACATACAACCACATACATGTGCACTCACGCTCGGGCAGACACACACACCACCCGAACCCACACAAACACTCTCAGGCACACACACATACCTATTACACATGCATGCACACACACAGAGCCAGGCCCGAGCACACAGTGCACACACACATGTGCACACACACACTTATACACACAACCACATACATGTGCACTCATGCTCAGGCAGACACACACACCTCTCACACACACACCACACGAACTCACACAAACACTCAGGCACACACACATACCTATTACACTTGCATTCACACACACACACACACAGCCAGGCCCGAGCACACAGTGCGCACACACACACGTACACACAGCCACTTACATGGGCACTCACACTCGGGCAGACACACACACCTATCACACACACCACACGAACTCACACAAACGCTCTCAGGCACACACACACACACCTATTACACATGCACTCTAAGCCAGGCCCGAGCACACGGTGCACACACACACTCATGCACACAAACCGAGACATAAACACACACTCAGGCACACATATATCCACACACAAACCTGTTACACACACACACACATATGCACATATGTGGAGTCACGCCGCAGGCACGTGCACACATCGACACACATACCTATTAGTTATATGTGCACACACATGTACACACACTCAGGGCACATGCACACATCCACAAACATACCTGTTACGTGTTTACACACGTGCACACACATGCACTCACACATCTGTACAGATGCCTATTGCACACACACGTACACACATGCACACACAAACACAGGCACATTCGGGCCCATGCTCCCCCCATACAGCTATCACACACGTGATCACACACACATGTGCTGATGCATCCACAAATACACACACTAAGGCACACACATCCACACACATATTACACATGTGCTCACACAAACTCAGAAGTATGCACTCAGACACATGTCTACGCACACACCTATTACACACGCTCACAAGTACACACAAAAAAACGGGCACATGCACACACACCCATGTGAACTCACCTAGAACATGTGTTCAGACACATGCACACATCCAGGCATATACCAATTACACCCTTGCTCACACACACACACTATGCACACAGCAGACAGGAAGACGGTAGTGCCTCTTGGCTGACAGGCCTCAAGGGATCCAGGAGGGGGGCGGGATGCAGTGGGGAAGGAGGCAGGGCCTAAGGAATATACTGGGGAAGGAGGCGGGGCCTAAGGGATATACTGGGGAAGGA